CAGGTAAACCCATTCTAGAACTTATAATTGTCCTGCATGCTTCTTGTTGATTTCTGTTGGAGAATATTATGGGTTAATAAAATACTATGGGCTGTATATGGTGAATGTCGGGGAATATTATGAGTAAAGTATGGGTGTGTTACTTGTTTAAGTGTTTAAGTACATGTATGTATGTATGTTTTCTTCCTTTCATAACACATAATGAAAGTTTACTTCTCATCTTCTACCTTTAAAATTTCCTAGTAGTTTATGCATTTCATTTGAAAATTAAAATAGCTGTATGCATGCCTATGCTTGTATTTTTCGATATGCGTACACTGTTTGACTTCACGCTAATGTTGGCTATATTTGATACTTGACTTTTTGAGATAGAGACCGAACGAAATTGATTTGTGGACATCAGTGAACATTGTAAATGCAGTGTATGGTTTAAATACAACAAAATTTCAAGAACATGTCTGATTTTATTTTGTTTTCTGTTTTCCATTCTACTGGTATTTATTCCAGGCTATATCCCTGTACTGATAAGCATCAAGTCTCATCAGTCTGTAAATTATGTCAAGCCCATCATCAGTTGTTTAACTTGTTTATATAATCATGCAGTGGTAGCAATGATCACACAACAAAGTTTTGGTGCAGAAATAGGCCTGGAGATACTGTTCGCGATAAATTTAACATTGGTCAGAATCAAGGTTTCTACTTATTGCCTCTGTTTTTTTACAGTTTTACATCTTCCCCATCTGGAAATGGAATAGGCAAAAAGAAAAAGGTGTTACAGCTGTTATTTATTGTACACTTTATCTGAATAATTCAGTCGCACAAGTCATTGTATTTATTGCAAAACTTTGTAAATATGTTGGAGTATTTTTACTTTGGTTTATACTTAATAGCACTATGAACTGGATGTAGGTTATGGTGAGCAAAATCCTGCATTAGCTGGCCGCATGCCTGGCAATTTTGCAGCACCCGAAGGCCCAACTACCCCAGGACCATTTGCACCTCGAAATGATGGAACAATTCCTGGTATCGGAGTTCCTACGCCATTATCGGTTCCATCTCTTGATGCATCTTCTCAGGGGGACCAAAAGCAGATTCATCCAGGTCCCATGCCTTTTGGAGCTCCTCCTCTTCCTCCTGGACCACATCCATCTCTTCTAGCCAATCAGCAGCATGGATTTCAACAAAACCCTCAACAAATTCAACAACGGACAATGCAACAGCAAATGGCACCTCCAAATATGCAACAGCTACAACCTCCATCTCATTCTCATATGCCCCTGCATCCGCATCCTCATTTACAACGCCCTACCCCCCAAATGCCTCCCCATGGTATGCCTTCGCCAGTCCCGTCCTCAATGCCAGGATCTTTCAATCCAACTTCATCGATGCCTGGTCCAATGGTATGACCTTGTAAATAGCTCTACTGCATATGGTTGCAACAACGGTTTTCATTTTCAAATTATATTCTCCCGTGAGTTGTAGTTAATTTGTTTCCAAAGATGGCACATGTTTTGTTCTCTATGGTTCATTTGCCTAACTTGCTGCATACTTGGACGGCATGCATACGATTTTTGGACATGGGTTGGACAAATTTAAAAAGCTTGATCAAACGTATTTCATAATTTTAGGGTATGCAAGGTACTATGAATCAGATGCCTCCACCATTACCACAAGGCCATTTTATAGGTGCGACTCCTAGGCACACGGGATCCTTTCCCACTAGTGGTGGTGGCCCTTCAGTTGGAGGTTTTCCAAATAGTATGCAAAATATGCAGGGGGCACCAAATATGGGCGGCGGCCAAATGTATATGCAGGGTGGTGCATTCAATCGTGCGCAGGGTGGTCAGATGCCAATGAGGCCTGGGTACAATCCTTATCAGGTAAATGATGTCATACTGTCCTTGATCTTATTCTGTCTGTGTACCTACATTTTATGTCAGTGACTGGATTCACGACCGAAATAAGTGATAGAACGTCAATCAGAATCACTTAACTGGGTATATCCGTCTTTCTTGACTCAGATCCAGATCCCCATTTTTAATGGTATAACAGAACACGCCTGCATATCATGCAGTCTCTTCGAGGCAATTGCATTCGTATAAAAATACTCGAAGTTCATACGAAACTCACTTGTTATTGCTTCCACTTGTTGCAGTCTGGTGGTCAGTCCAGTATTCCGTCTCAGCCTCCAACAGGTCCCCCACCTCATGGCCAGACGCCACAGTAAGACCTATGATTGTAGAGTATTTGTACTGTTTCGGGGCTCTTTCTTAAGACTCGCTTTCGTTGGACCTGAATTATTGCAACAATTGGCATCAGTTAGCAAATTGTTTACTTGTGCTGTATTTTAGTGTATGGAAATTGGAATGTTTGAAAAACTAATCCTCATTTGGCTTTTGTTTCTCAACTTTGATTTATTTAATTTATTTATAACTAAACAAGTGGATTAAGACTTGATTGAATTTAAATTATAAGACGTTGAAGTTTGAAGATTGAATTTGCCTCGACAGTGATCAAATTAAATTCGAGTTTTATACAAAAGATGAATCACTTCTTCATTTGGTCAGCGTGTCGACAGTTTGTTTTTTCGTATCCTCAAATATTAGGATAAATTACGCGTTTCATACTTAAATTATTAGTTTTAATTTGTTTTAGTACATAAATTATTATAGTTTTGGTTTGTTTTAGTACATAAATTTTTCATTTTTTTAAAATCATACTTAATATTTTATTTTTGTTTCATTTTAGTACCCGTCGTTAAAAATTTAACGCTTTCAACACTTAAACTATTAGTTTTTGTACATACTTTTATTTTATTTTTAAAAACTTAACGTTAAGTTTTTAACGGTTATTAAAATGAAACAAAATCTAAACACTAGATATGGTATTGAAAAATTGAAAGTTTAGGTTCTAAATTGATAAATTAAGTACTAGACACGTAACTTACCGTAAATATTATTTATTCGTTTTAATATAAATAAAGCTAATAAAATGAGTATGACTTAAAATAGTATAGAATAGATTCCTACAAGAGAAAGCTGGGCTGAAATCTCTCACTGATATTCAAACTTGAAATTTGTTAATGGAGAGATGATATTGTGGTGGTATTTGACCGTTCATTCCTTCTGGATTGGGCGAAAAGAGTGAACCGCCGAGCATCACCACAATCACATTTCTCCCTTCAACAAAATCCAACAGACGTGGTCAATTATCATAGTTTGACAGAAAAAGAGGCAGAAAACAAGAAGGGCAAAGAAGGAATATTCATGTAACATTGAAGTCGAAATATATTCTCATATTTTCATTCACCCACAGAATCCAATACAAATAACTCGATGAACAAAATCGAGGCTTAAAAACGTTCAGTTGTAAATAAATAAAGACAAGCCACACCATCCCGAGAGGCCTTTAAGACGAGCAATGAATTGGTTTAATAGGACTTTCCACAATGGATTAGGCTTCCTGCGCCCAAGAACAGTCCAAATATCGCTGCACTACCCAATGTGGTTTGCCCGATATATCGAATCTCGAGCAGTCGTGGTACCTGCACAACCCAATAACATGAATCTCGATATGCACAAAGCGATCTCATGCAATCACATGGAACAGATAAAACAGAAAAGACACAGCATACTGTTTTTGTGGTTCATAGATCATATATCCATGGAACACTACTGCAATTCGTGCGGTGGGATATCCGCAAATATGAAAATGTAAGCACATAATTGACATTGTTTCATCTCTAGATATAGAAAGTAAAATGCCCAACATTACCTTGTACCTAATAGCCTCATAAGTCCCATATACAGCACCTGTACGAGCAAAATCACATTAACAATCCAAAAGTAAAATATAACAAATACAGAAGATCACAAATATAGTTAAGTAATCACGTAGAATTGTCTAATCTACTTCCTAATCATCCGTCCTCATTCTTTTTGGGTAAACTATTTGAATGATCACTCAATTATAGGATTGGTATTAAAATGACCACTCAACTATGTGGTGCTTATCAAAATGACCATCATTTTCAAAATTGCGTCAACATGACCATTGAACTATTTAATTGGGTTCAATATAGTTCATTAGACGTTAATATTTAACAGAAGTGTTTACATGATAATTAATAAAATTGAAATAATTACATATTTGATCGTCAACATTGTGCATTCAATTAACATGACAATTAATAAAATTGATATAATTACATATTTGATCATCAACACTTGTGCATTCAATTAATTTGATCCATTAATTTAGTCATAATTTTAATTTTATTTAACAAATTAACCATTCAATAGATGGTGACGTGTGTCACCATTTGATTAGAGGAAATTTAAATTTAAAAGTAAGGAACAAAACAATAGAGTTGGAGGGATTTGAACTAGGGAAGGAACCACTTGCGCATCGCCACTAAACCAACCTTCGTATCCGTATAATGTTTTACAAAATAATATATATATATATATATATATATATTATTTTTAGTTAATGCTAAAAAAATCAAAATGCCTATAAGAGTAGTTTGGTTCACGAAATATAAGATTATCAGTGTGAATAAAAGATTACCAAGCAATAGGATTACTGGGAATGTTACATTACTGTGTTTAGTTTGTTTAGCATGAATGTAAGATTACAGTGTTTGGTTGAAGGAATAAAAGATTACTGGAATGTATATTTTATCAAATTGTCCTTGTTCTATATTTTTTTTAACAAGTGAAATTCTAAATATTTAAATAAAAATTATTTATATAAAAATTCATCGATAATATTGTTGAAAATATTTTGATATTTCGATATAACAAATAAGTATATTTGTTCGAATCATTTTCATGTTTGGATTCAAATTTGACAAGTTAAATTTCACTGCTTCAATTTATTGCAAAAACTTTCATAAATGATCATCCATGTCCACGACATTAATTAAGGATTTCGTTAGGGTGCAATGCCCTTGATCAATGTCATTTACACATTTTAATCAAGACACATAGATTCCTCTAGCTTTCCTTCATGTTAACTATTTCATGGATGATTGTATTTTTCATGTTTTATTCTTCATCTTCTGCTTCTTTGTCTTTGTCATGCTCGATGACTGAACATAAGTCTTTTGACATGCCTTGATAATGCATCGAACGTGCGGGTCGTCCATCGGAATCTTAGTTAGCAAACTCTTCGCAGACTTGGGATCTCCTGAAGCCAAAAGGGCTTGATGCATCCTGCAAGAGAACACAACAATTCAATCCATCCAAGGAGACAACTGGTTGATGAAATGGTTAGACATAGACTTTAAAAACAAAGCAACAAAGCCGAGAAAAGAAGACTGAGGGAGGATTACCAACCTTAAGAATGTTAAAACATTGAAACGAAGGCTAGCTGCCTGATATTCACTCCAAATTAAAAGAGAGTTCTGTAAATCTTTTGCGTTTACGCAAGAAGTAAGGAGAAAGTCGAGAATTTTATGAGAAGAGGTAAGGCCAAATTCATCCTTTATGGCTTGAAACAAAGCCATGGCAAGCCTTAAATCATTAGGCTGTTTCTCAGCAATTACACAAAATATCTATTCAATCAAGAGATGGAACCATGTAAGGCAAATGCATTCAGATAAACACACGAGATAACATATTAATGAGAGGTACAGAAAAGCAAAAGCCATAAAATACTTGCCAACTAGCATTTGTAAAAACTCGCATACATTTGGAGATAGAAAGCCCCCCTTGTTGTCTTCTAATGACTGAGAGCAACTACCAAGAGTTCAAGCTTCTTTTTCGAGTTTCAACCATACTAAGATGGGTAAGGGCATTACAAGCAAGATGTATACACAAAATCAAGAAAGAGAATAGGAAAAAACCTCGTCGAAAACAGCTTCCATAGCCAAATCATCGGTATGAAGCTTATCATTAAGCTACTTGAGCAAATCAATAGCCGATCTAAGATCAAACAATCAATTAACAAAATGAAGATAAAAGATTACTATATAAAGAGTTTGATCAATGAGAAAACTAGGTAAAGTAGATAAATTCCCCAGAAAATGAAAATTATTGTGTTATCCAACCTTAAGTTCTTATTTCTAACATAATATAAGACTAGTATGCAACATCCATCAAACCAATAGTCTGGATCCTGTATTTCCTCCCATACTTGAAGTAATATACTCAACTCTCCCTCGGATGTAAAATGCTCCCAAGAGATAGTAAAGATGATAATTAAGATTATTGTAGTTATAGGAAAAAAGAAAACAAAGGTTCTGTCGTAAACTTACAATGAGAGCGATAGCAGCTTTAGGTTCCAAAGTCCCCCCATTTTTCTTGATTTCCTTGTAAAGGTTTAATGCATTAGGCATCATCCCATTCAACGCAAGAGCTGACACGAGCACACTCTTGATTTCAGTTATGCTGCAAACATGTATCATTTTGTCCAAGACTACCTAAAATATAAAATAGATACTTTAAGACCATAAGAGACATCAAAATGGGTTTAATGCATAAATTGTACTTGAAATATGTTCCATATAATTAGGTACTCACAAAGGATTTCTTTATGTACTTGAGTTACATTCATTAGTTTGACATGCTTATTTAACATATAAGAAGTATACGACTTCTATAGCTGCTAAGTGCTAAATGCATACGTACCTGTTTTGCCTTCTCAATTTGCCCACAAGCTGCATATGCATTTATTTGTGCCATAAAAATATGCTTTGTAACTGGAACTCCAATACGCTTCATTTCTTCGCAGTACTACAAGCAATCACCAAATTACTGTATCACTTCAAGTGAAATCACAAGAGATGTGTCTTTTAAGAATTTCATCAATGCCAATTGTCAAACCATCAATTGCAGTAAAAGAAAAAATGGCAGACTTGTAGAGCACAACAAAAATGAATTTACTAAGAACAGATTACAGAAAAACAACCTTTTTCCTTTTACAGGGAATAAAGGTACATAGATATGTATACCGACAAGTTGTTCGGGTTTTAACTATTGTTGATTAATGCTTAAGCTTGAGTTGCAAAAGGAGCCTAATTTAAGCTTAACTCGAATGGTTTACACTCATAATAATAATCAAGCTTGTCAAATTCAAGGAACAACTCCCACACCTTTTCCTGAAGGACCACTTAAACAAACCAAAAGAAAGAAAAGTAAATGCTCAACCATTTCTGGATAACACTTCAAATCCCTTCCATTAAAACAAAACAATGACATCTCTTTTGCCATTTGTTCTTGCTCTGGATTCCTTACAGAACATCTATGTTTCAACCTAATGACCCCCGACCAGTGAACAAAACCTTCTATTATAGCATGCACCGGTCGACATTTTATAGTTTAATCAGAGTTGGTTAAGCTTTAATCACTATGTTTTAGAATCATTTTATCTGTCTTTTGGATAGGTTAGCTTTCGCAATTGGATTCTTTGGATTTTGTTCATCTTGCTATCTTTTGAAAAACTAACGTTAATGTTTGATGCATACATGTAATTTGTTGTCAGGTGCAGAATTGTTACAGAATTCGGATCATAAACTCTAACAACTTGAAATATTTAGTTTTTTTTTTCTAAAAAAAAAAGATATCAGATACATTAAAACGAGACATGACAATGATGGAATGGATATTGTTTGGGAAGAATCAAATGTAGTAAAAACAACACAGTTGTGGGAACCTTATTAGTCAATGGTGGTCACCGACAAACAATTTCTAACAAAGGAAGAAACTATGTTCACGGCTAAAATTTGCATATAATGATTTTGATTAAAAGAACAAATTGGAAAAAAAAGATACCTTTGTAGACGAGCTTGGTTTTCTTACATAGCTTTTTTGCCAGCGAGTGGCTTTGCAAAGGGAGCGAGAGCTAAATTCTTCTTCCTGTCTTCCTTCCGCTCCGATGACCAGACAACCGTTGACAACTGCGAACCGAGAGCGCACAGCTGGAGGCTAGAGCGGTGGAGCGTGAGGAAGGAATGAACGTTTTACGATTTAGGGATTTCAATTTTTAGAACACAAACCCATAACCAAGAAATATGTTGAAAATAAAAACTGAAATATGAACGCCAGAAGCAAATATTTAAGCCAAATCGAAGAAGAAGAATATTTCAACAAAACGAAGTGGGGGAGAATGCTATTTTAGACAACGGAGACGGAAATAAGTAAATACTAAGGGAGAAGGGGATAGACATTCTCGAGAAAGCAGTAAAAAAATCATTGTTGGTATTAATTTTTTACTGGCACCTGGTAATATAGCTCATCCAAACATGGGTATATTCATCCAGGAAAACAACATTCCTCCCAAGAATAAAATATACCGTGAATCAAATGGGGCGTAAAGGGATTTTAACATAAACAATCAGAAAAACCTAAAAGCACTAAACCACTAAACCGAATCTTATATTTAAATAATAATTTGATAGATTTTATATATACATTTTATACTAATTTATGCAATATTAAAAGAAAAATAAATTTAAAATTTATATATTTTTAAAATAAATTTAATATTTTTTTTTCACATTTATAATTTAATGATTATATATAATCTTAATTAAGTCTTTCTAATTTAATTAATGATTTTATTTTTATTAAAAAATAAAGTGTATGAGTTATTTATATTATTTTAGTTAATTTTTTATTAGATTGTGTAGTTTAAAATGTATAATTTAAAGTCATTAATTTTTTTATAATTTAAATTACACAATTTTAATAAAAATAAAATGATTAAGAAAATTAAAAAGACTCATTTTTTTGGTTGTCCTCCCGGTTTCAAGCCCTTGCCTTAAACTAATCCATCCAGACAGACCTGCATTGCACACCTGATTTTTGGTGGGTGAGTCTCTCAGCATGGATTTTCTGATACACAAGGACTCAAACTCGAGACCTTGCTTAAGCAATATCAAGCTACTTACCACTTGAACCAACTCCATGTTAGTTAAAAAGACTCAATTTAAAATTATATATAATCATTGCATTATAAATGTAAAAAAAGAAGAAAATATAAATTTATTTTAAAAATATATAAATTTTAAATTTAATTTTCTTTTAGTAGTGTATAAACTAGTGTTAAATTTATATAAAAATCTACCAAACTATTATATAAATATATAGTTTGGTCTTTTCAAGTTATTCATGGCCTAGGTTTAAATCCCTTCATAAGTATTTTTATTTCTTTTTTTCTTCTAGCATTAACTTCTTTATAAAATATATATATTATGTTGTAAAATATATCACGGTAGTAAGGGTTGGCTAAGTGGTAATGTGTGTGTGCTTGATTCCCTTAGTCATAAATTCAAATCCCACCAATATTGTAACGCCCTGGACCCCGGGTTAGGAGTTTTGGGCTAACCCGAGATGGGCCTTGGATTAATCCTTTAGCTTTTAGAAAGCCTTGGCATAAGTATAAGAAAATTTGGACTTGGTTCAAGCCCAACAAGAAGAAAAAAAAAGGATACTTTTAGTTTGCAATCAGAATTAGAGGGACCAAAGAAGCGATTTTACCTTGGTTCAAAATTAAAGTTGATTTCATTAAAAATTCGTGATATCACCATCTGAACAAGTTCCCTCTTTTTATTCTCTTCCTTTTTATTCTTCCAAGCTTTAATTTTTTGCTCTCTTTATTCTTTCTTCAAGTTTCATTATTATAGGATGCAACTTGGTAGCCTTACAACCCTAGTTCAACAACATCAAAGTAAGAAATAATTTCAATATCTCCAGAGCTTTCATTTGAGCCCTTAACTTCACTATTTCACCATGGGGACAAAAAATGAGTTTTGTGGAGTTTAAGAGATTTCAGGGTTTAACCTGTTTTCAGTGATTTCTAGCTTTAGGAAGTGATTCTAAATTCTTCATAACCTCTAAATTTAGTTAGTAATATGTTCTTTGATTCTTGCTTAGTGAGAGAGGTTAGAGAGAGTTCTCAAGATAGAGGGAATGAGAAGCTTACCTTGGGTTGAGCCATTGACATTTCCAACATCTTAGATACTCAGGTAACGCACTCCTAACTCATCTATACCATGTATAGATTATTTAAATGAAATATGATAGGTTGTATGAGTTTGAGCATATTCATGGTAGATTTGGTGTTTATATGTTTCCAACATTGTTAATTGACTCTTTATGACTTATTTTATCATACATAACATTTAAATATCATTTGGGGATCTCTTTAGGGGTTTTGTGATAGAAAAATAGGATTTTTCGTTCTAAAACATTGCACTCTATGCTTGGGTCTCGATGCTGGAAGCTCAATATCGAGATTGTTCTTAAGTCTGGTCTAAATTTCATGTTTTCTGAGCAATGGTATCGATACCAAGTCAGGGGTATCGAAATCGAGGTCATTGTCTCGAGACCCATTTTCCAGTAGGCTTTTCTAATATCGATACTCTCATAGGGTATCGAGACCAAGCCAGAGGTATCGATACTGAAGGGCCAGTATCGATACCAATAGTCAGTTTTGGGTAAATAACCCATAATTTGAAGGATTAGACCCGAGGTGGCCCAAACACTTCAGTATAACACCGAATAAGACCTCAAGTGAGTACAATAATTAATATCATAACAGTATAAACAAATAATAACTACGAATTTCATAAAACTAGCCTTGTTCGACGCTCGGGAAATAGTTAATACACCCAAGTTCCCCTATAATAAAAGTGCAACAGTCAGTGGATATCCAAGTTAGTGCCAAGACACTTCAGTAGTTGGCTAGGCGTAGATGCCCCAAGACTCGATGGAGTAAGTTGGTAGGTGTATGTTCCGATGCAGATCCACATCTCACCTTAGATACCCAAGGGTATCTCAGAATGGCTAGACGGGTATTATTCAGTCGTAACTTTGATTTGTATTTGGTATTGTATTATTTTTAGATATCCCCATTATTTGTAAACTCAGATTATCATGTTTTATTTTCATTTCTATAGATGGATTATTTTCAGTGATTATAAACAGTTTTTAAAGAAAAATTTTTGGGTCACTATTTCAGTAGTCCCACGTAACATTATAATCCATGGATCTTCGGGTCGAAATGGATTAGTGTGTTACAAATACAATCAATAATGCCTTTCTTTACAAGATTGGAAAATAAATAACCAAATTAAATAAATTTAAATTAAAAAATATTATTTAATCTAAAGACATGTGTCACCACATGATTAAATGGTTAATTTATTAAATAAAATTAAAATTATGACCAAATTAATTAAATGTACATGTATTAAGGATCATGTCGCAACCGTCTTTCGGGTTGGGTCCCGGAATTGGGCTTCGACTTGAATTGATTTGATTTTGGTTGGAGTCGCCACCGACCTTTTTAAAACAAATTTAGGTGGGTCGGACACCATCTTACATGATCTGCGTTGTACCAGAAATGTATCGGGTCCGGGAGTCGGTTACGGTCAAGGAAGGATTAGCACCATTGAACTGCCCTTTCGGTACCAATTAATTTAACGGTTGTCTTTAATTGCAAAAATTGAAATTAAAATTAAAATTTAAAATTTTCGATTCAGATTACTTACCTTTGATTGATTGACATTACCACTAAAAATGTCAAAAATGTTAGATTGTAAAATAATAATTAAATATTAAATAAATTAATTAATTAAAATAATAGAATAATAAAATATTAAATCAAAGCAAATAAAAAAATAAAAACAAATAAAAAAAGAAGTTAATAAGTGACCAAAACAGAAAATATACAAATATAAAACAAAATTCGAATATTAACACAAAAATATGAAACATAAAAAAAACGGGGTTAAAATGTAAGTGATGACAATTTAATGCTCAAAACAAAATAAATTAA